CTTGAGGATGAGGAGGCTGATAAGGCAAGGGAGGCAGCTAGGAAAGTTTGCGGTGAATAGAACGACGATACTTGGAAAGTTGATACAACTGGGGCAGCCATTGATGTTGATGACTATTTACCAGGGGAGAGGACTATGGTGCATGATTCAAATCGGCCTAGAATGGATCTTGGCACAGTGTATCCTAACATGAAGGAGTTTAGATTGGCTGTAAGACAATTTGTTATAATGAAGAGTTTGAACTACACATTGTCAGAATAGACCCAACTAGATACATTGGTAATTGCAAAGGAGAAGATTGTCCTTGGCATCTTGTTGGACGTAGACAACCTGATGGCACCACCATTATGGTACTAACTTGCATTTTTTGTCCTTCTATTATTGTTTGCATTCACTAATTAATTTTTTTGCAGGTGACAGTGCTTATTGGTGACCACACATGTACATCAAGTGCTAGGAGGAAGACTACGACACCAACCAGTGCTTGGGTCGCTACAAAGGCAATACATCACCTTAGAAAGAAATCAAATATGGGATGTAAGGAACTGCAAAAAACTTTGCAGGATGAGCAGAAGTGCCAGATTCATTATGACATTGTTTGGAAAGGTAGGCAAATTGCTTTGAGAGAATTGTATGGCAATTGGGAAGAAAGCTTTCAGCTGCTATTCAATTGGAGGGCAGAGGTACTGAAGAAGTCTCCAGGCAGTGTTATTGAGATTGGCATTAAGAAGGTAGACGGCATGTTCTATTTCCATAGATTTTTCTGTGCACTACAACCTTGCATTGAAGGTTTCTTAGAAGGATGTAGGCCATACCTTAGCATAGACTCTACTGCACTTAATGGTAGATGGAATGGTCATTTAGCTGCTGCTTGTGGTATAGATGGTCACAACTAGATGTACACAGTTGCTTTCGGTTTCATTGATGGCGAGACAACAGATAACTGGACTTGGTTTATGACTCATTTGCATAAGGCCATAGGAGATCTTCCTGTTTTAGCTATCTCGTCAGATGCATGCAAAGGTCTGGAAAATGCAGTTTCAGAAAGTGTTTCCTAAGGCTGAACATAGGGAGTGCTTTAGACATCTAATGAACAACTTTATTAAGAGGTATGGTGGTGATGTATTCTCTAAGATGTATCCTGCAGCTAGAGCTTATAGACAAGAAGTTTGTGGTTACTTTTTCAATTCAATTGTTGAAGCTGCTCCTGATGTGTTGGTTTGGCTGGAGGCTCACCATTATAAGCTATGGATGAGATCTGCCTTCAATCCTGACATTAAATGTGATTATATCACTAATAACCTTGCTGAAGTGTTTAACAATTGGATCAAGGACTGGAAAGACCTTCCTGTTGTGGAGCTCACAGACAAACTCAGAGAGATGATAATGGTGTTGTGGGTGAAAAGGAGAAGAATATCAGAAAGGCTTCATGGGAAGATCCTCCCATCAGTCATACATCAGTTGAAGGCAAGAACAAGAGGACTTGGGCACTTGACTATTGTAGATGGAGGTAGTTCTGCAGCAGAGATTTGTGACACCACAAACACTAATAGTAGACATGTTGTGAAGTCACATCTTCATGAGTGCACCTGCCTTGAGTGGCAGCATACTGGTAAGCCTTGCCAGCATGCTTTGGCTTTGATAACAAGTGTACAGTCCGCTAATGTAAGAATGGAGGACTTTGTGCACGAGTATTACTCGGTTGAGAGGTTCCAGGCAGCCTATAAGAGACTTATAGAGCCATTGCCTGATAGGTCACAGTGGCTAGATGTTGATTTGTCGTTTGTGCTTAAGGCACCCCTTGACAAGAAGGCAGCTGGTAGGTATAGAAAACTCAGGATGAAAAGCTTCCTTGAAGGTAGTGGAAGCAAGGGAAAGAAGGTAGCCAAGGAAGCAGCAAACGAGGCAGATAAACAAGCTGCGAATGAGGCACAAAACGGCAAGAAAACGAAGATTAGAGGCAAAAGGAAGTGCAAGAGATGTGGAGAATTGGGCCATGGTGAAACAAGCTACAAATGCCATCTTAATGGGACTAAGAAAAGGCAAGACCTACTAAGAAAAGGCAAGACCTACTACATTCACTTGTTGTCCTTAATTGTTGTGCTCATTAACTTGAACATTTGTCTCTAAACTTGCAGGCCAAGGAAGCCAAGGAAAAACACAACAAAGTATGGTGACAATGCAAAGATCCCAACAAAGAGAGCAAAGAAGGGAGGGGACAGTGCTGCTGAACCAACACTGCAAGAAATGGCACCACCAGCCCCAAATCCTTCCAATGACCAAGAAATGGCACCACCAGCACCAAATCCTTCTAATGCCCAAGTCTTAGCATCACCAGCCCCAAATCCTTCCAATGCCCAAGTCTTGGCACCAGCAGCCCCAAATGCTTCCAATGCCCAAGTCTTGGCACCAGCAGCCCCAAATGTACTCTCCAACCCCTCAAGGCTCACAAAAGAGCAGATCCTACAAAACAGCCCCATTAGGGTGACAAGAGGGTATGCAACAGATTAATTCTCATTGTTTTATACTTGTACACAAGCAAAAAATGACTCATAGTGGTACTTTTATTGCAGCTAACTCCACACACTGCTAGGTGAAGGTGTGGATCCCATCATTGCTGCCTCACCAGACAAGACAGTCCAAAAGAGGAGCCCAGCAAAAAAACTGAAGCCAAGAAAACTGAAAACCAATTAGATGATGTGACTTAGATGGTGTGAACCTTTATGGACCTATGTTATTGTATCTGAACCTATGTTATTGTAACTTAGATGGTGTGAACCTTTATGGAAACTAATATGCTCCAATCAATGAATCTGCTCTGCAACTTTATCACTACTGTGTATCCTGTCCACTTATTCTATCCAATTGTTGTCCCATTTTTGTTTGGTGACTCTCAGGGCTGGCCTTCCAATTGTTGTCCCTGAAGAAACTTATTATATCCCCATTGTATTGCTCGAAAGGTATTTTTGTTTGGTGAGTCATGTGCTGTCTGCTCCAATCAATGAATCTGCTCTAAAATGATGTCTGTGTCTGGAATAACATAGATATGTCTGAGTCATGTGCTGTTATGCATTGCTAGACAATGGACCTGCAGTTTACCAAGCTGTACAATATCAGAAAATGGATCTACAGGTTATCACTTGTTTTGCACCTTGATAAGCAGATGTATTTCTTTCTTGGGTTTGTATCTGGCAGATGTAGCCTGTACCTTGATCTACAGGTTATCACTTGTTTTGCCATTCTGTGTAGCATGTACCTTGATAAGCAGATGTAGCCTATAGCCTGTACAATATCACTTGTTTTGCTGTTATTGTATCTGGACCAAAATCTGGCAGATGAAGCATCCTCATTACATAGTTCAGTAACTTGTATTTTCTGTTAGTATGCAGTGAGAACAATGGATATATTACAATGTTCAGTAACTTTGACAGTTTGTATGGCTCTTTGAAGCAATTTCACTGTAGTAAGAATTTTTTTAATGCCTAAGGCACTTCAAACATGTGCAGTAAGAATAGAGTTTTTCATGAAAACATCTTTATTCCATGACTTGCTAATAAGCATCCATACAATTTCAGTTCCATGATACAACATAGTTCCATGACTTGCTAATAAGCAATTTCACTACATTTCAGTTGCTAAACAGACCACCACCACTACTGATACAACACAGTTAAAGAACACAATCTTGCTTCACTTGCTAATAAGCACTACCACACCTAAAAGATCTATGACAATCATGACTAAACAGAGCACAACCAACAACTGGACCAGATCGATAAGCTTGTTCATCCTGAGATAGATCCTATCTTCATCAAAAATCCTGCTTTTAAGCTTCATTTCTTCTTGACATTTAGTTTCACCATGACCTTCTAATGGCACTGCAGCTAGCAAATCTTCTTTAAGCTTCTTTGTGACTACTTTCTTATACTCTTCCAACCACCTAAAAATGGACATTTCTTCACTGCCTGTGGAAATGACAATACATAACACACTTTATTTATCCAAACCTTGACACAGTACCTAGTTTATCCAGTTGTATATGACAATAAACAACAGAGCAATATATAGTCACAAATTCATTGTAGTTTACGTATTTGAAGAAAATTCTACCATTGTTCTTCCAAGATTTGCATTCCACTACTTTATCACCACATTCTGGGCATGGAATCAGGGGATCCCACTAGGGCCGAGTGGATACAGAGAAACGACAGATGTTGGGATGAACGACGAATTAGATGAACCCTCACCCATAGCCTGGGATGAACGACGAATTAGACGTACCCTAGGATGAGATCTGGCCGGCGGTTGTCCATCCAGCACTTGGAGCAGCGCGGGCGTGGCCGAAGGTGCCGGGACCCCTGGCTGGCTACGGGGAGACAGCCGAGGAGGTGGGCTGGCGTGGACGCGTCGGGGCGGCGGCGGGGGGCTCGCCTGGCGGCGTCGGTGTGTCCGTGACCGAACGAATGGGGGATGGAATGGATTGGATACGGTTGTTGAAGGCTCAGGGGCAAAACGGGAAAGAAAAGAGGTCGCCAGCATAAAAAAAATTGACAACAAAATACACAAATGGCATTCTACCGAGTGTGTCCTGTTTGATAATAGCAAACCAACAAATCCTTTTTGCGGGATGGCAAAAGAGTGAAACCCACGTTTTTGTAAAGGCAAAATTCCAATTATGTCGGAGAGACGGGGGAGTCGGAAGACGAAGAGACACTCCGGAGACTCCGATTTGTGCAAGGTACACTCCCTCGGCGTATCTCCTCCCCCATGGCCACTCGCAACCCACAACTCACTCTATTCCCAACCTCGTGCGGCACCGTCACTCCCCCCGCAAAACATCCCAAATCCCTTCCCTCCGCCACCGATCGGGCCTCCATGGCCGCCAAGCGCAGCGCCCGCCACCAAGTTCCGGCGATTCCAAGGAGTTGGGCGGCAACGGTGGCAATGAGGGTTCCGACAACGACGAGGATGAGGAGAGCGGCAAGTCCGGCGACACCGCCATGTCCGCCGAGCCCAAGGAGATGCCGCTGAAGCGAGCCGAGGAACCCTCGTCGCCGTCGTCGGAGGATGTTGGGGCCCAGGGCTCCGGCGAGGAGCGCACCGTGAGGTGGGGTCAAGCGGGTCAAGAAACCCCCTCCGGCGTCGCAGGAGGAAGATGAGGCGGAGGGTTCTGGTGGTGCATCACCGGCGAGGGGTCTGCTGCCCGACGACAGCGCCGACGCCGGCCACAACAAGAGAGGCGCGACTCCGAAGCGGGGCGAGAAGCGCTCCCCGCCGCCACGGCAGGGAGATGAGCGCCCGGAGAAGCGCGCCGTGGGACCTGCTGGCGAGACCGTCGCCGCGTCTGCCCCACGGCGCAAGAAGAAAAGCAAGAGGTCCGCCGAGAAGGACAGGCGCAAGAAGAAGAAAAAGAAGCAGCTTAGAAAGGCCTTGACCAAACCGAAGTTGCCGCCCCAATTGCTGGAACTAGAGCTCAACGACGACAGAGAGGACACACCCTCCTTGCCTGACATCGCCCAAGAAGACGAGCACAATGGCAGAGAGACGGCAGAGCAAGAGCAAGAGCAGAGCAGCACCTCACCCCCAGAGGTCGAGCACAGAGCCCGTGAAGAGGAGCAGCAGGAGAAGAAGATCATAGAGCAAGAGCATGCCAGTGACACTTCACCCCCACATGACAAGGACATGCACATCGTCCATGGAGAGCAGCAGCAAGAGAAGGAGGTTGCAAATCAAGAGCATGCAGATGACACCTCACCCCCAAAAGACAATCACAGTGTGGACGAAGGGGAGCAGCAAGGGGAGGGGATCCTACAGCAAGAGCAACCCAGCGACACCTCACCCCCACAAGAGGAGAACCGAGCCTAGGAGGCTGAGGAGACAGGGGCACAAGTGAATGTCAAAGCCTTGCAGGAGAGGAATCCTCCATCAACCAAGCCACACAGTTCTCAGACAGAGAAGAAGCCAGCGGTTGAGCGATCATGGTCCTATGATGACGAGCTCAAGATTCTCAATGCTTTGGTTGTGCACGCCAAGTCCCATAATGGTGCTTTGCCAGATTCATCGCACCTTTTGGCAAATCTCACATTTGACAAAACTGATGCCAACGAGGAGAAGCTCGGGACAAGATCCGCAAGCTTAGGACACGGTACCGCAAGATCCTTGTACAAGGCTGCCGGATGTTTAAGCTGTCTGAAATTCTCTGGGGCCAAGTTGATGAAGATGAGCGGGTTGAGCCAACATCTAGGGACTTCAGTGTACTATCAAAATTGTATCCTCATCTGGCCAAAGAAGTCAAAGCGTACGCCGAAACGCACAGCTCGGGGGACTTAATCATGGCAATGTTCATGACCATAGGTGATGAGAAGGCCCGCGATCTTGATGCTAAGTGCAAGAAGCAACAGATTGAAGCATTCAAGTTGGAGTTGGGCCAGGCAAGCCTAATCAATGAATTGCTCTCTGCACTTTCAAGTCTGACCTGTGTGAAGTTCTAGTAAAGATCTCTGCTATCTTTTGTTTTAGTGTAATGAGTAGACTTGCTGTCATTAGGTTAATGTAGGATCAAGAGCCTTCTTTTGGGTACTGGAAAGCTCTTATCTGCTAACTAGTTGGTTGCTTAGATTTGGTGTCTGTTTCTGCATATGGAACTAGCTGTTACAGCTCGATGGTGGAAAACAATACTTTAACGTTTAAGTATCATGAGCTTAGTGATCTAATCAGACTGCTTGTGTGATTTGTTGGTTTCTGATCTGTTATTGTGTTAGCTTGTGTTTGGGATGAGAGTTTATACTCCATTGAAAGAAGCAAAATTACTTGTTATTTACTATTACTTGACAGGGACTTGGCCTAGAATGGATAGCATGATCTACAGATGTTAGTTTAAGCACTGAAAATTTTCCAAAAGGTCTAACGGCTCTGAGCATTTAAGAATTTACGTTACGGCTGCATATTTTTGTTCCTATGGTATTCACCAGCGTTGTGAATTATCGTGGATAATGTTGTCCTCTATTGGGCTTGGACCTTTCTGTTAATTTTTGTACTGCTAGAGCTGAGCACTCCTTTTATCTTATTTGTTTTACCACATTGAATTGATTTTGTTTATGCTGTATTTTTCTGAACTCTATTGTGTGGGGCCACTGCTTGAGGTAATCCATCCAGTTTGCTCGTGGTTGCCTGTGATGGTTGAATTCTGCACGAATTTAATGGTTTTACTTGCTCTGCCTGCAGCTGGTGTTATATGCTTCCTGGTGCTGGGCCTTTGTCCCCTCGAGGTTGGTGCATCCTGTTCCTTGTGTGTTTTCTTTTCAAATGTGTTGATGCTTACCTGGTGGTTCCAAGTTAGATGCTACAACTGCTGACAGCATTGACTTACTTACTCATCCTAAACCAAGAGTGCAGGTTACTAGCAGATCACAATGAAGTACTTTAACCAATTCTCTCTAGCAGTACCTTTCCGAGGCATGCATGTCTTGTTTGTTTAAATTTTATCTGTGGCCACCTTTCAATTTATGTCAGATTTTGTGCTCTGTTACTAGCAAAACTTATCGTGCGGCCTATCATTAATCTTTTGTGCTGATTCTAAACAAAGTAGTGCATGGGTGTGGTTATATTGGTGTCTTTCTCTGTTGTGCATGCCTGCTCCGCATAATTGAATTTAGCTTCTAATGTATGTCAACAGAATTGAAGTTTAAAATTGCTCTTGTGGCAACTACTACAGACTGCTATTTTGACTCATCTGCATCCCACAGTTCAGTTCAGTAGCAGTTGGCTCTTGGTCAAGTGTCAATTATGGCATTTATATTTTCACAATACTGCATTGATGATTGTAAAAATAGGCATCTAATGGTTTCTTAATCTCGATAGCGATATTTTTTTATGTATAGTTCAAACCTTGCCAGTCTTGAGGTTCTTTCCATAGCTTAAGCTTCTGGTAGCATGCAACATGATCGCAGCAATTCTTGTAATTTAATGTTGTTGAGCTTGTTTGCTGCCCTTTTTTATAAGAATATTAACTTAGCCTTCCGTGCAGTTTGAATGGATGAGTGCTTTCTTTATCTCTTCAGCATATTCCGCGTGGCAAAAATGGAGTGGCAGATAATGCTGGGCCTCCAGTTTTTCTTTTTCAGGTGTTGCCCATTACAACTGTATGCCTTTCTTTGGGTCTAGACCTTATGTTATCAAGATTGTGGTCACTTTGATATAACTGGATGCTTCTTTGGATAATGAATTCTTAGCTTCAGTTACCTTTTGACATTCACTTTTTTTCCTTACCATCTAAAGCCTTTTTACGGGGCCAATATCTGTTGTAGTCGTTGCGCACTGCCATGTGCTAAGGTAGTACTGCTGGCTCAATGGACAACATTCTTACACATTGCACCCAAACTAGTGCGGTTGTTAGTAAAGGTTCATCAACGAACGCACAGTGGCGGAAAATCAACTAGATCGGCAGTGGATTAGAGATATCAAGAACACCCTTTCAGTTCAGGCACCCATTGAACCTGCAAAGCTGGGAGCTTGGGACCTCATGGAGCAGATGGTGTGCAGGATGTATAAGTGGGTGCACACAGTGCGCCTGGCCAGTAACTAGCACAGTATGCCGCCCAGAACTCATCAGTCGAGGTGCTTAAGAAGAACCCTCCCCAAATATTGGGATCAGAATATCAGTACTAATTTGTATGCCAATGCCACCCTTCAGAATGAAGCAAAGGTTTCAGATAGGAGCTGATTTTTTTGGGGATGAAACTGCAGGAAAAGGAAATGAAGCTATCTACATCTACTTACATTGGCATTCCAGGTGGTTTGTTGACCACAATGGTGGCCATATTCCCAAGGGAAAAAAATTACAGATTACAATAATATCATTTAGCATCCAGACTAATCAAATACCTTTGAAAAAAATAGATATATAGTATAGATATATATTTACGCCATGTAAATCTGAAAGCTACATAGAAATCAATCTGATTCTCATTACCAAGGCACTACTCCCCCATCTTTTCCTGAAACCTTTAAAACAATTAAAATGATGTATCTTACTACAATAGAGGACTAAAAAAATACTCGACCAGAGGGAGAGACGTCCAAGATTTTGTCCTAAAGAAGAATACCTTGGCTTCGAACCGAGGCCGGTTACAGGGGTTTCAGTACCCACTCTCCAGAGTTCATCACTCTACCGTTGCACCGCGGTAAGCTTTGGTACTGCACTAGAGGACTCGGTTACTAACAAAAATATTGTGCTATATAGCCCCATTAGGCTACATCTAAAAACTGGCTCAGTTTACAGTATCATTGGTGTTCATCCACGCCACTTTTTTCTTTGTCAATAAACCATAACTACATCAAAACATGATATACATGTGTGCAACATGAACTGTAAAATAACCAGGCTTTGTAACATGGCACAATACAGTATGGTTGCATGAAGAAATACTGAAGACAGAAACCGCGGGAAATGAAAAATGAAGAGAACAATGGCAAAGATTTGTGACTCCACAAACTTCCCCAAATAATGAAAGAATGTCAATTAGATCGTCCTCCTGATAATTACTAAAAATACAGATGAAAGTTTGTGAAAAACTGAGGCATATTATCAGTTCATGTCACTATTTGGTCAGTGATTGATGTCGCATCATACAAATTATAAACCATGATGACAAGTCACCAACTTTCTCATTCATGTAATGGCACTAGGGGAAGATAGGTCATAACCGAAGGAAAAATGATTTGACAGTCCGTTGTTTTACAAACAAACTAGAAAACTTGATGCGCGGCACACTTTGAGCTTGACCAGTGGAGAGCCGCGCCACTTTGAGCTTGACCAGTGGAGAGCCGAGCCCGTATGGAGTTAACACCGTGCCAGCTTGAGATAACACAGCTTCGAAAAAAGAGACAATCAAAAATCCAAACAAGATTGTAGGGTATCAAAATTCTGATGGTCAGGAGTCGAGTTATGAGCAGACAAATTGTCTTAACTGTAGTTTGGATGAAGAGGCTACCTAATTGAATGGTCATTTGAAAGTTCAGATTTCTTCTTCATTACCCCTTTTTAGTCCGAGACGTAGCTAGCATGTTGAGCGCTAAAATTTACTAAAACATAATGGTGCAATTACAGCTGATTGATAAGTTGATTCCGCGATATTCAAGTTGGTAGATGATGGACGTCCAAATTACAGTGTTAAAAAAGTCAATCATGTATCCAGTGGAAATTCCTCCACGCATTATGGAATTTCCTTAATACAAAGACGCACAAACCTTTTGCGTGTTCGAGAAAAAAAATATATCACGTGTAAGGTTACAATATTTTTAAAAGTACATACCTTTTGTTATCTTTATTTCGATTTAAGCCTAGATTGCCCAATCCTCACCTGAAATATAATTTGTATAAATTGTAGAGCATGAGTTGGGCATGAGAAGAAATGAAACACATTCTAGCCAGATGAAACAACAATCTGATGGCAAGCCAATGTAGTCCAAATCAAACAATCATCCTAGGCAGACGCTTGGAAGCGAGGAAAACTTTATTTTCTAATGTTTGAGGAATAGGTAGAGCCTTGACCATTCAATCGATCTAGTTTGCAACCTCAACGTGTGATATTGCAATCAATCTACTCACTGATTCATAGTATTCTTCAGGAAGTTGTTTGCTTTGATTTTGGTGGACAACATATTGAAGTTTTCCCCAAGCTCTTTATCAGAATCAGATCTTATCATATTCTATTAGATAGTTTAATAGCGATGTACTGATGTGAGAGGTTAGTGTTGAGATTAGATGTCAAACACTTTGTCTAAGATGGATCACAACTCGGGCATGTTTGTGCCCTGCCAGGACTTACGGTTGGTTTATGAGCCTGCTTTTGGGTTCCAAAACATGCACAACCAAAATCATACCTTCATTTTGGCTAGGCAAGTTTTGGAACCTAACCAAGGAGGCTCAATGTACAGTAAACAAAGTTATTTCACATATGGAAGAAATGGTATTGAAGGGCAGGCCTGGTGCAGTGGTGAGAGCTGCCTCATTGAGTCACCAGGTCGTGGGTTCGATGCAGCCTCTCCGTAGATTTTGCGGGGGGGAAGGCTTGCCTCGGTTTTTCCCTTCCCCAGATCACCCCACTTATGTGGGAGCCTCCGGCACTGGGTGTGCCCTTTTTTTTATGGAAGAAATGGTACTGTTGACCCTTTGGTTCTTGAGGAACCATTGGATAACATTCAGGCATGTGATAGCTATCAATGTTATATTTGATCTAAATCTTGCTCCTGCATCCTAATATTTTGGACACCAGCCTGGAAATTATCGTTGTGAAGAAAGCTATAATTAGGTGGAACTATGGTTAATCAAACAATTCAAAGTAAAAAAAGTTATTATGATAATAGACATTTTGGTCTTTTAAAGACTAAGATATGAAACAGTTTAGTCTTTCAGGCTTCAGAAAAAACAAGACCGAACACTATTTCTCTAGATCCTAGATAAGAATGCAACAACATACCAGTAGAGAAG